GAACGATTATAGGTAATATGCAAATATTATTTATATAATATGATTGGATTATCATCATAATTATTAAGTTTAATCACCTGCTATATAATATTTAAACATATTACAATAAAACAAGTCCACTAAAAAACATTACGTGTTTTATTGCGTATTTGAAATGGTATAATAAATATCAAACGATGCACAGTTATTGCCCATTAGTCTATTTATTACTAATAATTAATAGTAAAAGAAAAATCTCTTTAACGATTCGTTAACAGTTTCATTCAATGGATTTTAAACTATAGTAGTATTATTATAATATTTTATATACAAACAATGATAGTCAATAACCCAGTGTTTATTTTTTATTCATTTTTATTAAACACTTAGAAACACATAAAAAAGGTTTATTCGTTTTGTGTTTTATATTCAATAAAGTACTTACACGTGTAAATGTGTAATATATTTATGTATCGGTTTGGCGAGCTAGTAAAACAATAATAATATCGGCAAGCGTTTTGCATTTAATTTACAGTACCATCCTATTCTATATCATAATAAGAATTTTGAAAGTATCAATAATTATTTTAAAGGTTTTATACGTTTTCGTACTCTTGCAAGTAAAAATATGTATGCTATTGTTTTTGAAATTTTATTAGCACGCTCATTTTTCAAAAATAACTATAAGAGACCATTTCATATTATTATCGGTTATCGGCGTTATTGCTAGTCGAGTTTTCGCTAATCTATGGCTATGATATTTTTAACTATAGTGACGCTTTGTCGCATACCTATATACTTATCACTGATTGTTCAAAACCGACATGAATGTATTGATAATCATTCCTCAACTAAACCGGGGATTGACGTCAATAATCGGGGAATGTCTACGTTTACAACATTTACCAATTTTTAGGTAAATGACGTCATTTACCGCGTTTACATCATTCACCGTAATATATATATATATATATATATAATCTGCAATATACTTCGACTTCCGTATCGAATATTATTTTTATATGTGATATATTATGTGTTTTATGTAAATAAAATTGGATATTTTTTTCTCGAAACTGCCACCATCGGTAGCTGTTAGATTGTTCCGCGCGTGGTGAACATACAGACGATTATCCTGCAGGATGATCGCCCCTACAACATGCATGGTATACACTGTATACTATACAGCGACGGCATATACGAGAGCACGGTTTTTATGGCCGCCAGAGTTATACAAATGGCCTCCATAAAGGACAATCCTTAAGGGGTGTGCGACGCAACACACACACACACACACACACGCACGTATCATTACATATATAACATATTATATACAAGTATATAATAATATAAAGTGACCTCCAACACCGATTGTTTAAGGAAGCCCTGCTATAACTATGTGCTTCCGTGTGCCTATTTATAGTGCGCGTCTGTAGTATACACAATATAATATAAATTGTTAAGTACATGTGTGCTTATATATATATAAATATATAATATGACCAAAGGACCCCCGCAACGATCGGGGTGCTCGCGTCGTGACAAAAATACTCGTCCTTGCGTCAGACCTTGAAAACGACAATGTATGAGTGGTATGTAGAAATGAAAAAAAGGTTATAACGTATATTGTCACGTATAAAAGGACGTATATAACTATAATATCTATCTATATTATATATACCTAAAACCAATTCGCGCGATCACAATAATGTTATAATATAATATGTCGGATACGCGACGATGACGCTAGTCAGTTCGCTGCTGTCGTAAGTGCGCGGTTCATGTGACGGAGAGTCTGTAGCTGTACAGGTGAGTACCAATATCACATTTTTTTTGTCAATGGATTTGTATAAAAATATAATAAAACTTACTTTTTAATAAATTATTAATGTATTCGATCGAATATGAGTATAGACCTACGCCTACCCCATACCATACCATAATACTACTGCATGTAGTTGGTGCTTAATTAAAATTATAAATTATTATACATATAGGTAATTTGTAGTTAAATAATTTATATTTAAATATTTATATTTAAATTTATAGTTAAATACCTATACACGCAATAAATATTTTATAAACTATTAATATAATCTATCTATAGGTAGCTATAGAAACTAACATTAAAAAGATGTAAAAAATTAATGTAAAAAAAAAATTGTAAACATAAATAATTGTATACATTTCTAAAGCTAATGGCCTTTAAAAGCTAAAAAATAATAAAATAATAATAATATATTTTTAAAATATTTTTGTAATGATTCAAATTAGTTGTAAAATATATTATATTCAAAAACATTAATATTTTTTGAAATAATTAGTGTTTTACGATAAGAATTGATCAATAATATAATTCCTTTACGGCTATTATACTTATATCCCTATATTATAAAAAAAGGAATTCGACATACTGTAGTAACATATTTGCAATTTGTTATATCATATTTTTTTTATTTATTCTAATTTAACAAAATCATATCAATATTATCAAATAACTTGAATTCACTAGAATTAAATCAAAATTAATTTAGCAATAGAATATAATGTTTTTTATTTGTTCATAATATAGTAGGTATAACTATAATACGTCAAATTTAAAAAAAAAATCACTATGAATTTAATACAAATGCATAACACAATACTTGGAATCTTAATAATACATTTTGAGAATTATTTTATACAGGTACAGGCACTCTAAAAATAATATGCTTTATATAATATTCAAAGTAGGTACCCATACTTACTATTAGGTATTATATTCGTATAGTTAATTTAACATAACTACGTGTTTGTTAAATTAATTTATTATTATATATCTCTCTATAGTTATAGAAATATTGTTTTTCCTTCATTAATATATACACAATCTATACGCAAACGGCGCAATAAGAGTATGAAATTATGACAAGGGAGAATGAAAAAGCTACCCACTGATGACACTCTTTTAATTATTTTTATTTTTTTGTTAGGGATTTAGTAGGTCTCTGCACCATTTTCGTTTAAGACGACGAGGAGGGTTACCAGGGATAGTTAATAAAGCTATAATTTTTATAAGTTCGTTTGGATGAGAGTTAAGGCGTAGGTGGAAAAGTTGATAGTAATTTTTTGCCTCTTCCTGAATTGTTTTCATGTGTAGGTCTTTATGCAAGCAGGAGTGATTTGATACGTACCTATGGTGAAGAATTGGTAATTTTTCTTAGTATTTTATTTTGGAACCATTTAATTATATTTAGATTATACATTTTTGCATTGCCTCATAGGTATAGGCCGTATGTCCAAATTGGCTTAATGAGAGATTTGTAAAGGAGTAATTTAATATTTAGTTTTGAGTGTTTGTTGTTGACGATTAGGGTTTTGAGTATTTGTAAGTGGGAGTTTAATTGTGATGTTTTGGTTTTGATATGGTGAGCCCACGTAAGACGGCGATCAAGAGTTAGCCCGAGATATTTAACACTTGGGGATCTGAGGGGATCTGAGTACCAACAGTTATAAAAATATAAATTAATATTTTATTATAATTTGACAAAAAAAGTGTATGTAATAATATTTTTAGTTCTTTTACAAAATGAGTAATTCGTTTATCGCACAAAATCAAACCTAATATATAAATTGTTGAAAAACTAGTGAAATTCAAATCAATATTATAAGTATGTATAACCTATATCTACCAGTATCCGTCCTGAATATGTAAACTTGCACGATTTATTAGAAAGTCATTAATTTGGAATATGTAAAAATAAATTAAATGTAAAATTACGAGTAACTACAATATTATAAATAGGTACCTATCCTAATAAAAACAAAAATAAAGCAAAGAATGTGTTATTAGATATTTGCGTTGATCTGCGTGCGAGTGCGATTGCGAAACTTTAGGAGTCCCATATTCAGTAGTCTAGTAGGGCTAATCAGAGGGATTTTAGATTTGACTTTTGGCTTTTATTAGAGTTATTTCTCTTCTTTTACAGGTTTGTTAGTATACAGTTTATATATATATTACAATATACTATAGACATTATACACAAACACCAACCTACGTAAACGTTTAAACGATGTGAACAAGTATATATGGTTTGAATAATTTAATCATAGAAGACCTCCACGAACCTGCGCCCAACCCATATACCGGCCAGTTAATGTGTATAATATTATATATACGCATGGAAAAAATTAGCAATAACTAAGTACCTACTCCATTATTATGAATATAAAATTATTATTTAATTTTTTAGATTATAATTTAAATATTAAAATGAATAACTATAACTCTTCTAACAATACATAATATATAGGTAATATTATAAATACCAAAATAACTTCATTCGCTTCTACGATATTATATAAATAACTATATATGTGTTTTGCATAAAAATTATATTTCGTAAACTAGAATAGATTGTTAATACTTATTTCTTGAATTTTTTTTAGATACCTATGTTATTCTACTGATACTCATATATAATAAGTTCCTTGAAAAATACCGTTTATTTATGTGTCTTATTGGTGCAATATAATTCTTAATAATATGTCTACAATTTATTATTGGCTTAACATGTTATTTATTTATTTTAATGGCCTGCAGTTTATAAAAAAAATGTTTAGCCGAACTTTTACAGGTGCTTTTAGTATTGTTTGAAGTTTGAAAATATTCAATGTTTTATAAAATGAAAATGAAATTATTATTTGTAGTCGAGAAAATGATGGAAAACTAAGTAATACCTATAAGATATTATAAAATGTATTCATTTTGCAAAAATAAAAAAATAAAAAATTTACTTTTAGGCAAACCAATCCATAATATATAAATTGGTATAAATAGGTACTTATAGCCGCTTATATATATTGCTTTATGGAAATGGATAAATGTATGTAATTGTTTACGAGTATAATATTATAAATGGAACTTGGAACTGATGACTTATAAAACGAAATTGGCCACAACAGATTTATAACCTATTTGCTCATATAAAATGTAATAATAATAATTATTATAATTATACTGTAACAAAATAAAGACTTACGTGACGACGACATATTGACGAATGCTCGTGTGTATATTATATAGTTGCAGTGGACGAAATATATTACGAATGCAGCCTCGATATATGAAGTGTGGCAATGAGTTGTGTTAAGGTTCAGGTATACGGTTTATACCTTAACGAATAATTTATACGCCAATATACCGGGCGTACTCCGTGCATAACAGTCGGTGCGGATCTGCGAACGCGCTGCGATCACGTGCGTGTAACCTACGCGTGCCGAGTGACGAGACGAGGACCGTATACGTGACCCGGTGTCGAATAAATCGTGTGCGTACTTGTAAGTTTATATATTATATGTATTTTATGTAAGTACCTACATAAATATATTAGTGTGCGTGCGTGCTTACGTGTGCTTATAACTCGCGACGAGTGCAAAAATGTCTTACAGACGTTAGGTATAGGTATATCTATGAACTATAGGTATAAAGCCGAATAGGTAGGTACTGGACGATATACCCGGTAACCACCGGTACCTTTAATATGGTACCGAGTGGGTGTATTATAATTATCGTACTCGGTGTAGGCACAAATTGCCGTGAACAGAGTCGAGTATCCGGCGACAACGATAATATTATATGGAATTTCGATGAAACCACGGGATCCCGGAAATTGCGCGGTTTAAATTCGAAAAAAATAAAATAATAATTCGAAAACGATGCGTGCGCTCACGATTTGTTACATTCATAGGGTTGTGCGGTCGCCGTAGTCGTCGGACTGCCGGTGGCCGGGGTCGTTCTAATGAAGATATTATTACCGTCGAAAACGGGCGCGTCCGCGACCGGCTGGCCGCCACCCGAACCGGGCTCCCGCGGTCCAAGATGGCCGCCGGCCAATGACGTCGCTGCTCCCGCGGTGGTCGCGCGCGCGCCGCGGCAACAATTGTTGTTATCATTATATTATTTATTAATATTATTGGTAATATTTTCACGCAACTGAGCCCCACAACATTTTTTTTTTCAAAAAATAAAAATTAATTCCTTGCACCCAGTCCTTTATATATACATATATATTAATATTATAAAAAATCTACACTAAATATTTTAGAATATATTATAATATATATTTCAATATTCACTCAGTTGTAGGTATATGTGCTTCACGATATGTGTGACATAGGTATATATAGGTACATTCAAGTCAAGTTAATTCGAATGACTTTATAACTAGTTTTTTATTGTTTATTCTCTTCTATCTGAGGTTAAGTTAGGTAAATTTGAGTTAGGTATAGATACATCGAATAATATAGGTCCTACATACATATGTCAAAGCGATTTTTGTCTGTCATTAACTTTCAGTAGTTATTGCAACTCGACCGCATATATGTTTCAACAGTAGACTCCTATACTTGTACTATGATTTTTGTACATACCTACCTATTGGTATTTGGTACAGATATAATATTATTTAAAAAATTATATTCAATAAGATAAACTTAAATTTTAACAAATTAACATTTATGCAAGATGTTGTTGGTACATATTATTATATACATTATAAGATAATAATATAGATATTATAAGTAAATATAGGTATAGATATTATGAATAACTGATTATTTTTATATGATGATAAATGATTATTAGACATTAAGACATTGCAGGTACTATATCTTCTATAGAAAATAATCAATTATTCATATCCACAATATATACCTATTTACTAATAATACATTACTATCTTATGATATCTGTAAAAAATAATTCGTACCTACATGACGTCCATGATTTTTTTTTTGGAAATGGTTATTAGATTTGGGTGTCGTAAAAATTAGGGAGATTGTAAAAATGTATAACKCATGGTGTTATAACAATAATATTATTATATAGGTATGCTAGAGTAGAATTTTTTATATGTTTATGATTTATTTAACTAAGTCGATATATAATTACCTGACAGATAAAATATAAATTGGAGGCATAATATATTATTATTATTTATTTATAATAGGTACCTATATACACTAACACGCAGTATTCTTATACGCAGTATTTCTTTATCTACCTACCTAATAGCTAATAAATATTTAAAATAATAGACATTTATTCAAACCATAATATATAATATATCTATTTATTCTATTTTATTCCAAAGATTATCGAATTATAGTGAGAAATATAATATACATGTATAATGTATGGCCATATGGGTATAGGTTTATACGCCGTAGTATAAAAAACATTTGAATTCTCGTAGGCCGTATAATGCTATATTATGTATACCTATATATTTATGTTCCCGTTTTCTTTTTATGACTTTATACATACACCATGGTTATACACGTTAATCAGACGTTTATTCATTTATATAAGTAATAAATAATTTATACTGCTGTTTTTTTTTTTTATTGCGTACGTGTAAAATAACTATACCTATACGAACAGAAATTTAAGCAATTATTTACCAACGACATAGATTCATGTAACTATATCTATATAACCATGTTATATATGTATTAAAAATTACTATTTAGGTATTATCTGAATTCTGCATACGCCTTTAGTAAGTATCCATAATAGGTATTTGTTAGAAATTTTAATAAATTAGTAACTTTTTTAATTTTCAATTTTATAACATAATAATTCTTTGATAAATATTAATTAACATAGTTATACACATTGATATATATTTGTGTGTAATTTTCAATAGCTGGTATGTACAAGGTTACTCCTATTTATATCACGATTCGCCAACAACATGAAACAGTTGTTGTTATAATAAAAATAATATAGTTATATTTTCTATTATTCATACAGTTTCAGTTCAACGATAATTTTTCGTATAAATAAACTCCACTCCCTCCAAAAATATTTTTTAAGCGTAGATTTATAATAATTTATTGCTTATTCAAATACAGATTGATAGATATATAAACAATATTATACGCAATAAAAGTATTTATTAAGTTATAATAGTAATAATATATTTACATTAGGTACATAAATATGTAAATGTTTATGTTTTATGTATCTACCTATTCTTTACATTTTTTAATTCATCTTATTAAATAATAATACTAAATACATCAAATTATCTCCAATAAAAACTATAATATATACAATGTGATAAAAATAAAACCAGATATATAGCTATTATGTATACATGCAGGGAGCATAACACAAATAGCTAACATTGAATTTACTACTGATGTTATCGTTAATCTGGATTTTTTTGAATATATAATTAACAATAATGATCACACTTAAAATATAAAATCTAAATTTAAAAAAAAATTACTAAATGAATACGAATAAAATAGTATTAATACATAGGGCTAATTAAATCCTACAGTAATTTCAGTTTCTGTATATATGAGTAATGTACATTAAAGTATACTACCTTTATAATATACTGCTGAAATTGGATTTACAAAAACAATATCTTAAATATATATGTATGTACTTAATCATTTGATATATTAAACTCTAATGTACCAATAATACTACTAATATCCATAAAAGTGTATAGATATTATAATTAATTTTTTTTTTTTGAACTTCAAAAATCAACAGCAAATGTTATTAGTTTTTAGTTTAATACATAATGAGTGATTTCTAAAACTAAAATCATACAATTATTAAATTCTAATATATTAATTTTGTGTTGATTTCCAATAACATAAATATTATGGTTATCGTTAGCAGAAGGTTTGCATAAATAGATTTTTCTTAGGATAGCTAACATATTTGCGATGTTTTCGATGCCTGGGTCCTAAAGATTCATTCAGATAGGTTGAAATGTCGAATTTTCGAATTTTTTAATTATCAGAGGCAAATTACAGTATTTATTCTTACCTAAATTGTGCGTCGAATGCCATATTTTATACCTGTCTATTGTCTACACATATRAAAAGATTGAACCACCTAAAAACTACATCATATTATGGTGTTTTATACAATATTTTTTTGTTCTACAATATCCATGCATATTATATGATATAATGATCTATAGAAATAAATATAGAGTAGGTAAGAGGTTTCCGTAATATATCCTAAAATGTAATAATAAATTTACAATAATACAATTAATATCTTTTCATAGCTCGCTCAAAGCAACAACGCGCGCATACCTACTATAAAAAGGTACAATATTACTATATGTGTAAAAGTATTATACCTACCTACAAGAGCAATCACATAATTGCAATTAACATATATATTAGGTATTATATAGATACCTACAACACTAATTACTATAGTTTAAATGTACCTATACCTAACCAATTTAAAATAAAGGACTCGTCAAATCGTAACTGAGATTGTGTTTACAAGTAGATTTATATTATTATAGGTTTAGTTATTAGAACTATTATACGTATAACATTTTATATGACATGACAATTCATCATTGTTCGCGTTTCTATATATTATAACTTATAATATGTAAACAACAACACTCAAGTGTGAAAATATTAAACAAGCATTTGTTTTGTAACAAAATAATATGTATCATATATTAATACGAATAAATTTGTTTATTATAACATTTATAACGTATATATTATTAGTAACATAAGGATATAAAGTTATGGAACTGAAGACGATACGGAAGAATGCAATTTATTGCTGCTTCATTAATTGTATTGAAGTTATTGCATGTATACAGTATACACTATCCCCTTGCCGCTTATTTTGTTTGAAATTGTCCATCATTTCCTCTAAGATTATTTTCAAAATAAAATGTTGTTCTTATATAGATAACCGTATAGGTAAACAATGTCAAATTTTTATTTATAAAAAATTTTGTTTTCTAACGTCAGTAACATCTGATCATTATCTAAATAATAATTAAATATGAGGCAAAATGGATATTATAGGCTATATATCAGTACTTCAGTAGTACAACCAGTGAATGATTTGTGGGTTATAACCTCTCTCCCGAAGACCCGAAATCTTGTATTTTTGACTGCTAGTGTACCTATTATATCTGATGTGTGTAGGTATATACATATATATAGATATATAGATAGATAGATAATGTAACCTCCTCCTCAAAATTTGTTGCAACAATTACGTCGCTTGGTTATATTATATATTATATGTTGTATAGTTTGTTCTTTCTAATATTATCCAGAGCTTATGATGGGAAATACATTGCAAGTAAAAAGATATCAGGTATTTAAAAAAAAAAAAAACAGATTATAGACCATATTTAGTTTTTAATTTATAAATAAAACTATAGCTATTATAAGACCAGAACTTTTATTGATATCGAAAATATAACATTATGTAAGGAACATAATACTAATATAATAATTTCTAGAAACGACCGGAAAATTCATGTAATTTTTCTCGTGGACAAGATTATATAGCTATAATAAGGACTGCGATTTATTAACCATCGCAATATATGGTGCAGTAATTATTCATTTGCAAGTTTTATATGCATATTAATACATTATGTACATTATGTATTCGCGTTTCGCACAGCAACAACAACAGGTATATATACAAAGTATAAAATAATGCGCCATAACCACACAGTGGGTGCCGAGGGAGATATAATTATATATACGAGGTGAACACTGAGCAGTAAACGTACGCGTGTTTTGCTGGTTTATATATTATTATACAAAATACCTACTGCGGTCGTTAAAAAAAAAAAATAAATAAATAAATAAATAAGAGGGCGGTTTAAAGACGCGACATAGTATGCGAAAACTTTTTCTGCAGTAACGGCCTAGCGTGGTTTGTTATACGG